AACGGCACCTTAACTACCGAAAATCAAAATCCCTCATGCCAGGCTTCAGTGGCTATAAAGTCAGTCCCTGCCTCCCAGCTGCCATCGAGAAGGAGGGCGTTTATGCCCCCAAAACATCTGGAAGCTGAAGTCACAATGTTGGTGGATAGTCTTCTCTAGAGTAGCAGGGTCTAATAGAAACATTCGTGTATATTTTAATTTTCTAGTAGACACATTTAAAAAATTTTTAATGGGTGACAGTAATTTTAATATTATATCTTATTTAACCAATATATTCAAAATATTATTTCACTCTGTAATCAATGTAAAGATTATTAATGAGCTATTTTACATTCTTTGTTGTATTAAGTCTTAGAAATACAATATATGTTACTGGACAGCACATCCTAACTAAGACCAGCCACCTTTCAAGCGTTCCATAGCCACATGTGGTAAGTGGCTACTGTGAAAGGCAATGCAGATATAGGGCACTTCCATCATCATAGAAAGTTCTATTAGTGCTACAATGAAATACCAAAAAGTTGTAAGAAGAGGAATACAGGTGTGAGCAGAGTGTGCTCCAAAATTCTCTAAAATTATTGAGTTGTCAGAGCTAATTACTGCAGAAATTGCTATGTCTAAGTGGAGATTAAAATGAGCTTTTATGAAAGGCCCTGGGACCATGCATGATCTGAAATCCTAATCTCCAAGGAGATGGTATTATAAGGTGGGGTCTCTGGGTTGATTAGATCACGAGAGCAGAGCCCTCATGACTGAGGTTCATTCCCTTATAAAATAGGCTTCAGAAGGTCACATGCAGTGAGTGGCCCACACCTGCAATCCCAGCATTTTGGGAGGCCACGGTAGGAGGATTGCTTGAGCCTAGGAGCTGGAGACCAGTCTGGGAAACATAGTGAGACCTCATCTCTAGGGGAAAAAAAAGTTAAAAATTAGGTGGGCATGGTGGTGCATGCCTGTAGTCCCAGTTACTAGGGAGGCTAAGGTGGATGCTTTAGCCCAAGAAGTTCAAGGCTGCAGTGAGCTCTGATTGCACCACTGCACTTCAGCAGCCTGGGTAACAGAGGAATACCCTGACCCTAAAAAAAAAAAAGAGGCCCCAGAGAGCTCGCATGCCCCCCTCCATCATGTGAGGACACAGTAAGAGGGCGCCAACTATGAACAAGAAAGTGGGTCCTCACCAGACATTGCATCTGCCAGCACCTCAGTCTTAGATTTACCGGGCTCCAGAACTGTAAGATATGCATATCTGTTGTTGATAAGCCACCTGTTCTATGGTATTCTGTTATAGCAGCCCAAACGGATTAAGACAGACCATGCCTACATTGTGAGGAGCTACCCCACAGCAGTGGGAAGTTCAGCAAGTATGATCATTACTCAAGGCATCTGCTGGCTGAGTTGCCTCCACCTTGGCTGTTCTGGGCTATACAGAGCAGGGACTGGGACAGAAGATCACCAAAGTCACGTACTTCTTTCAATAACAATTCTGGACTTGCAATCTAATTTGGTGAAGCAGATACAGAAACATGATCAAATTATGTGCGCCTGTGTGCATGCATGTGTGTTCAAGTGTATTCTTGGCAGGAGACAGAAGGAGGGTCATGTTTGCAATCCAGAGGTACTAAGGTGGCCGCCAATATCAACCTTCTTATCAGCTGCCATCAGAGCACAGGGGAGCAGTAGATCAAGAGGCTCATCAAAAATTGTGAGCCACGAAGGAAAGGCTCTGAGTCTGGAAAGAACGAGATGAGGGGCACCTGGGCAAATGATCAGATGGAAGGGAGAATTAGTAATCAGAGGCATTCTCCAAAAACAACTGCCGACTCTATGCAAGGATGTCATCCTGATCCCCAAATCAAGCTTAATTCAGAATCCCACACAAGCTTTTGTGTGTGGAACAGTGCACTTAGCTATCTTTCCCCCTCATTCTCTGAGGTCTTCCTCATATTGTGATCAGGGAGGCAGCAGAATCAGAAGCATCTCATATATGAATTCAAATCCTGGCTCTCCCAGTGGCTCCATAAGGGTCAAAGATTAAAACGGTTAAAGGTTAAAGGCTCCCATTGGATGGAAGGGGGTTAAGGGACCTGTTTTGATGATACAATTGCACAGCAAGTCTCTTCATTTTTATTGACAGTGTTTGTTTAGTTGAGACAGTTACCAGTCACAAACACCTCACCCACCCTTTGGTCCCACCATGGACCTTGGACTAATTACTCAACCTGTCTGAACCTCGATTCCTCATCTATATTGCCTATCTCACACGGCTATTGTAAGGATTAAACTGGGGCTTGTCAGCATGGAACTATCAAGGGCTAAAACTGGGGCATGACACAAGAAACGTCAAGTCTCCACCCAAACATACACATATCTAAATTTCTCCCTGCTGGGTCTCCCTTAGTAATGATTTACAGATTCCTCCCCACCACCATTCATTCCATTAGATCCATCATTTAGTCACTCAATTCTCATGTATTAAGCGGCAGTTGAGTGTTGGGGACTCCAAGATGATAGAAACAGTCTTTCCATCTGAAATAGGAGCGATTTTGCATCTAGCTACTTGGCACATGAGCATGCACCGTGGGAGACTAGGCTGCCTCCCTAGTGGGTATCCTTCTCCACTACACACCGATTAGGTACCACATTTTGTGAAGAGGGAGGGGCTGAGATCTCTGGCATTTAGGAGAAATAAATAAGAGACTTGGAGGAGGGGTAAAGGGATATGCTGCCTCTTTAAATCATAACCACCAAAGTCTGGAATCAGACTGGAAATTTCTCTGAGTTTCAGATTCCTTATCTGTAAATTAATGCTTTCATCACAGAGTTGCTGAGAAGGTTTCCCACATGTGAAGTGCCCAGCAGACAGAGACCAAAAATAAATGTTAGCTCCCTTTCCAATTTATTTCCCTCCACTACCTTCCTCCCCCAAAATCTAAGGTTAGGGGAGGAGCCAGAGAATAGACACTTGCTATTATTGTAGAGTCAGAGCCCACTGTGCAGGGCTATCTGACATTCAGAACATCTCCCTTCTGGGTCAATGGGTTTGGTCTGCCAGTCCCATTCTCAGTCTCTGGGTCATGATAGCTAGAATTCTCTGGCTAGACTGGCACCAGAGCATTCCTGGCAATACCTTGTCACACACCTCCTAGCATTTGATTTTTCTTTCATGCAGTTCAGATGGCTCTGTTTCAGTGGCTCTGTTTTCTGGATACAAGCTTTTGAAATTTATTTTACAGTTCTAGTCTAACTGCCCACCAACCAAGTTCGCACCTTGGCGACTGGCATAACCTGAATAACTGTCTTCTCATTTGTTCCTGAGATTAACAGGTATTCCTGGGCCAAACCTCACTGCTGGAGATCTTGGTTTCTTTGCAAAATAAAGCAACCCCCTAGGTGGCTGAATGGTCCCTTGGGTTAATGTCAAAGCAGCCACTACCCCAAGTTCCACTCTGACTTGGCTCACAGTACCAATACAAGATACTGTGTGTATATGGGGGTGGGTAAGTGACTTCTCTGGGTTTCTAAGGGGCAGAGAAACTAGGATACCACCAGGCTTATGATTCTGTGCCTCACAGCCCACCCCTGGTTTCTGCAAGTGAATGTTCCCCTTTGAGAAGAAAACCTGAAGGAAAAACAGCATGGGAGCACAATGCCCACTGATGAGTGGCTCCCTAACCGCTAACCTCTCTAATGTGCCCCTCACCGCCACCTCTCTGCTGTAACAAAGACACATCCACACCACATTTTCAAAGTTATCAGAGATCTCTTGGTCCACCAACAAACAATTCTAATGACTCCAAAGAAGCAAGAGAGACATCTAAAAAGCAGTGGGAAAGACTCCCTGGGAGAAGCACAGAAAACCTTGCCTGATGCATGCAAAGCTAAGAATTGTTTCCTCCCTGCTGGCTGCTTTTCTCTCTGTTATAAAGAAAAGCTTCCAAGAATCAGCTAACTAAAGGGATCACACCAGAGGATGCGAGATAGTGCTAAACCAACAAAAACAAAGACAAATGAAACAGCAAGCCATGAGAATACGGCGGTTATCAAAACTTTCTTTGGTCATATCTATTTATCATCGCTGCACACCCGGACTCTGCGGAATATCATTCTGTTGATGTCACTTATCCTCAGCAAAATATTTACACATCCTTAAAAACGCCAGATGAAGGGGGCCGGCCCGCGCATTGCCGCAAGCCGCCTCTCAAGTCCCATTGCCGGGTTCTGGGCAGTCCAGGAGGCATGAGCACGACGGTGGGTGACATCAGCGGGCACAGGTAAAAGCTACCAACAGTTCCGGGAACACGGCCACCCAGACGCTGAGCCCTGCCCTGCCCACCTCTCCCCTACCTGACTCTGCAAGAAGCAGCCACATTCCCGATATGGTGTCAGCGCCTCCTCCTCCCCTGCCTTTCTCATTGATTAAGTTCTCAAACCATTGTTAAAGCCGCCTTGCTTTTCCTTGGAAAACTGGGCTAAATTCATCAAGCTTCCCCCTGCTACAAAAGGAATATTCATAAAAGTTTGGCAGGCAGAAAGGGAGTCTGACTGAGTGCTATGGGGTGAGTGACAATCCTCTCCTTCAAAGCCACTTTCTTCCCCTGTGCCCCATCCCTCTCTCCATCCATCCGTCGTGCCCCAAACCTACTCCAGGGACTTCTGATAGGGAAACACAAAGCAGCAGCTGTTTGGCAACATTTCTACCCCTCGCCAGCAACTGTGGTGGGATGCCATTTCCCCACCCAGGCGGAGCTTAGCCTGAACAATAGTCGGGCTTTAAATGGCAAACAAGCAAACACACAGAGCACAACCCCAACCCCGAAAAAGCCACGGCGGAGAGAAGCAATAACTCCCTCCGCAGCAAAAGGCGCCACTGAAACGCACGCAAAAATGCAGTGAGAATGTTGCTCGGTGCCTAACATGGCAGAAAGCCCGAGCTGGTGCGGCCACCCTGGGTCTCGGCATTGGGGGGCAGCGGGGCTCCCGGGACGCGGACGCACACTCACCCGGTTCCGGGGGGATGCGGTGCTGGCCGGGCGTCACAAAGAGGAGCCCAGCGCGATCTGGCAAAACCCAACTTTCCACCCGGCTCGCCAGGGCCGCCAGATACGTCAACAGAATCCATCTTTCGAAGGGCCTGGAAGGCGCCGGGTTTTCCGGGCCGGGGCAGAACGGCAGATCCGGAGGCGGCCCGGTGCGGTGCCCGGGCGCAGAGTCTGCCGCGCACCGCCCTTCGCGCCCGGTGCCAGCGCGGGTGGCGGCCCGAAACCCACTTCGGGGCCCCCGCCCCGCCAGTCGGCGCCGCCTCCCAGGCAGTCCCCGGCCCCTCCGGCCAGTGCGCGGCGCCGGGAGCAGGAGCGGGGGCCCCCGCGCGCCGCACGGGCGGTGGCCTCGGCCCGCGTCCCCGCCCCCGCCCGGCCCTCCCCGCTCGCTCCGGCCTCCAGGCGCCGTCCTGCCCCCGGGAACAGGCCCCTCCCCGGGCGCCGGGTCCCACCAGGCGCGCCCAGCCCGGCGCGCCCTCTGTGTCCCGGTGGCAGGTCCGCTCAGGGAGGGCGAGGATGACCCCGACCCGCACGGGGGCGCCGCGGCCGCTACCTCGCAATCGCGGCCGCCGCCTCCAGGAAGCCGCGGGGTGGTCGCGGGTGCGGGAACTCTCCGGTCTGGCCTCGCCGCCGGCCGCCTGAAGGGGGTGCGCAGCGGTGGGAACCGCCGTCGCCGCTGTCACCGAGTCGCTGTCGCTGCTGCCACTGCTGGTTGTGCGTGAGCGTGTGTGCGCCAGTGTCCGGGCGAGTGTGTGTCTGCGTGCGGCGCCCGGCCTTTACTATATACACCAAGGGGTGGGAGGAGGCGGGGAATGGGGAGGGCTTGGGGGAGGCGGCGGAGGAGGAAGAGCAGGAGGGGGACGAAAGGGTACCCGAGGAGGCGGCAGCGGAGGAGGGACAGGTGATCTCGCCCACGGGGAGGGCGTGGCGGTGGGCGGCGCGGGGTGCAGGAGGAAGGGGCACCCGGAGCTGTGGAGGGGGGATGGCAGATTGGGGGACGAGCTGGGGAGGGCCTGAGGAGCTGGGACCCTACTGCCTCACGGAAGGCTGAGGACCGTTCCAGACCCCAGGATAAAGAGTAGAGAAGAACAGAGCCCAGGAGGGAGGAAGTGGCTTGTTGATGGAGACAGGGAAGGTGGGAAGGGGCTGGCGATCACCCTAAAATGCCAATTGTGATATAGGTAGAAGATGCTTCTCACAAGGTGAGAGATTACGAAAGATTAGTACATAGACATCATCTAATTTTCATCCAAGAGGTGATTTATTTATTAATCTAAGATTTACTAATCATCTCGTGTTTGTCAGACACTGAGCTAAGAAATAGAACTACACGGATGGTGAATATATGGTTACTGACCAGTAAATAAATAATAGATGTCAGTAGTACTGTTGATTATTTTAAAATTTTTTAAAAACTAAATCCTTAAAAATTTTAAGAGAGCAAAAGAAGCAACTACACTGGTTTAATTAATCCCGAAAGATGTAAGATTTTTTCTACTAATCAAAACAGGATGAAAATATTTGACAGAGAATGGCAAAGCGGAAATTACTTTAATCAGAGCAGAGAACAGTATGAACCTAGCTGTTCTCTGCATGCTGAAACCCCTTTAAATACCAACACTGTGTATTAGCTATGACTTCCTTCTTGTCGAATTTTGGGTGGCCACACAGGGTATAATTAGTAAGAGAACCTTAAGTTGTGTTTGAAAGGCTCTATTATAAACATGTTGTGTTGCAAGCAAAAGGTGGTAGTAACTAGGGCTGAATTATGACTTTCTTGGACACTTTTAACTTTGTGAACTCTTTCCTCTATAAAAAGATATTGAAAGCTAACATTTTATAGTGGCATTGGTGTAAAGGTGAATGTAACAGTATTATACATCAAAACATCTTCTTCAACCTAAAAGGTCATATTTTTCTGATTTTAAAAGATTTCTGTGGGCCCCAAAAAGTACTGTGGGTCCCAGGCACTGTTCCTACTATACCTGATGGAGAAATCAGCCCTGGTAGTACCAATCCTCAATATTGAAGTTCCTCTTTTGAAGATGAATCATTAAATTAAGAAGTACCCAATCCACACAGAGGCAGAAAGACACACAATGCAAGTGTAAGAGTAGACAAAAATATCAACAGAAAGAACCAGTTCCTACTTGTTTCAATCAGGCTTTTGGGACTTCAAATCAGTCTTCAGTAATTAATGATAGCCATGGCAATATTTGTCTATGAATGTGTCTTCAACCATTTCAGTAACCAAAGACTTCCTCTATAGATCTCGCAACTGTTCTGAGCCCTTGGATCAGGTATGCGAGGTCTCCGTTGCCAAGACCTAGCCTAAATACAACTAAAGACACAGCTGGGCAATCATAATTGGGTAAGTTCATGGATGAAGGATCCATAAAGGTTTTGTGTGTGTGGAGGGGGTATGTGTATATAAGGTAGGGATTGATATCCTGGAAGGCAATTACTAGCCTATTTCTTTTGTTGGCCTCATCACAACCCTAGGTTAATGTTTGATCCTTGCTGGCAGTTGTGACTCATATTTGCTGCCCTTTGAGGTGCTTATGATTAATATGAACCAATATCATATTAGTTCATATTAATGCATAAGAAACAAGCATCGTGGTCCCCATTCCCAAAGAAATGTACAGTGGCACCCTTATCCTTTTCCTTGTGGCTTCCCTTGCAGAAGAAAGAAAAGAAAAAAGGTCCATAAAAGGCAGGTCTAGATTAGGGGAGAGGAGTGCTTGAGAAAGGAAAGAGGACATTAATGTGCCAGAATTGTGTTCATTCATTTAAAAGGATGCATAAGAAAATGGAGGGAAGAAAGAACGTGCACAAATAGCAGGAAAGAACAAAATCTTCCAGGGTAGGTCAGGGTGATTTCTGAGATCTGTAATTCTAATGTTAGGTGATTTTAAATAAGGACCCAGTAAATTTCTCATAAAAGATATGGTTCTTTTTATTTATATCCTGCTTCTATGGCACAGCATCTCCACCTAATTCAGTTTTTACATACTTGCCAGATGGTTGATTTATTCATTTATTTAGCAAACATCTATTGAGCACCTACTGGATGCCCAGTCACTAAGCTAAGAACCTGACTTAGAGATATGACGAATATATAGTTTCTGACCCTATTTTGCTCACAGATGAGTAAATCAACTGTTAATCATACAATGTGATATTATGCAGCACATGAGTAGTCATAAACGTGTTAAGTAAACACCTAAGAAACAGGCCTATCCCTGCACTGGAAAGGAGTGAGGAGTGGCACGGGACAGGGAAGTCAGAAAAGGTTACACAGAGATAGTGACAGTTGCTGAGCACTGAGAGATAAATAGAAGTTTCCCAAAGTAAGGGAAATGCATTATAAGTGAAGGGAACAGCAGGCACTGAAGTTTGGACACATTCTAGAGCCTGCAGATATTTTGAGAGTCTAGAGCAAAGGCTGTGAGGAATAACAGAGGAGGGAGAAAATGAAGGTAGAGGTTACTTGAGGTCTCTGGTTTATCCTGTAGAAAAGCTTTTTCTTGTAGTCAGTGAGAACCATTGAAGGATTTTAAACAAGGGAATGACAAGGAAAGAGTTGGATTGAGAAATGATCATTCTGTTGGTTTGTGTAGAGGGCTGATTGGAAAGAAGTGAGATTGGAAGCTGGGAGACCAGGTAAGAGACACTGCCGCAATGGTCAGAGTTTGAATGAAGGTAGTGCTGGCAGAGATGAAGAGTAGCGACTTGAGTCAAATGGTACTCAGGATGAAAAACCAACAGGGCTTAATTATGGAGTAAACAGAAGGAGTACGAGTGACTGATACCTGATTTTCTGACTTGGGTGACAGGGGTGTGGTCATTGAGCTAGAGGTTCCTAGGAAGAGAAGCAGATTTGACACTGGAGAAAATGAATGCCATAGGTTTTCCCAGAAGCAGATCCTGAGACAAGGATTCCAGTGTAGAAAGCTTACTTGGAAGGTGAAGGAAACACCAGGGAGACAAAGGGACAGCAGGAGATATGTTCACAAGGCCAGCTACCACTGTGGACAACTGGAGCTTAATCTCACAGGCAAACTCTCAGACATGATACAAAGTACACACTCACGAGGCAAGGAAGCTAGTTAAGGGCAGTCCAGGGAGTGCTGATTTTCTGGCAATTCGAATCTACCGCCCAGCATAGGCAGAAGGTTATTCCTGCATATAGAGAGAATATTCTGGCAGCTGGATGTCTGCATAGCACATTAAAATGGTAACATCTGAGGGCTATGGGTGATGCACCATCAGTGTCTGCTCCAGAGAGTTCTGTTTAGGTATCTTGAATTAGAGATACCAATTGTGTACACACAAAGATGTTCAGTAGGCATTTGGAAGAGTAAGTCTGGAGTTCAAAATCTAAGCTGGAGACTAAGATTTTGGAGTTGTTAGGCCCCAGGTGTTGATGAGTGCTGCAGAAGACATATGTGAATTGGGCTCATGGCTAAGCCCATCACCCTGGGGCCCTTCAACACAATTTGACCTGATCTGCATGAACAACGTGTGTGGGTTTCTCAAGAAGTTCCTGGAAGCCCTGAAGTTGTTCGTGTCAGTTTAGTATTCATGAGTGTGAATGTGTCTAGAGAAAATGTTCATTACATCCAAGAGATTCTTAAGGGTTTTTTTTTTTTTTTTTTTTTACTGAAGTTGAATAATATATTTAAATTTGAAACTTTGTTTTGGTGGTTAATAATATTTACTGGGTGATTGAGTTATTGAATGAGATAAGCACTTGAAAATACAATTACAATTCAAAAGGATAAATGCAAGAGGTAATTGAAGTACAGAGGAATGAAATAAAACCCAGGCTTAGCGAAAGAGGAAGACAAGTATTTGAGAAACAGTCCAGTGTGAATGACATTTCTGACTTAACTGTGCAAATTGAGGCAGGACTTAACATCTCCCATAGAAGCTACTTGAGTTCTCCTCAGGTAGGAGTCCTGCAGCAAGTAATTGTGAAACTCCTTAGTATCTCCCTCATCTTTGTGTGTGGTCACCTTCTCCTAAGGAACTTGAACTGCTGCATGTCCTACAAGTATTATGACCATCAGACACCTCCTGCCTTTCTGTGTGGAGGGATGATGTGGTCAGAGTGGGTTTGGAATTGGAGTCATGTGACTGTTACCTGAGGACACCAGTATTTGCCCAGATCAGTGGAGAGCCCTGTACAAGCCAGGTGGCATGAGAGTAGAATTCATATAAGTCACCAAGGAAGGACCAGAAAAAAATTAGAACCAGGATAGAGAGTTGGAGTCAGGGCATGACAC